GGGCCTTCGTGGGTGGGGTCCCCTCCCCTGCCCTTCCCTCCAATAGCTGAAAAGAGGGAGACGATTACTCTGGAAGATATAGCATTCGTCAACTCATTCATGGACAGTCCTCTCAGACTCTTCCCAGCAAGCCAACGAAGTGAATGTTGCACTTTTTACAGAGGGGCCACGGAGGCCCGGAGACGGACTGCCCCTTGCCCAAGGTGGCACAGCCCGGAAGCAGCAGAGCTGGAAGTCTGTGCGAGGCCTGTCTCCATCTCCTTCCCTCCAGGATGGGCCCGAAAAAAGCGCTCCGGGCTCTTCTGCCCGCGGAGCTTCCCGAGGCCACCAGCAGGGGGCAGCAGACGCCAGAGCCCTCCCCTCGGTGAGGGCAGCCTGGAGCTCAGTCCCGGCGCCTCCCTCACCCCCTACCTCTCAGCAGCTGGGACTCCGCCTGCACACACACCCCCTTCCCCAGGCTGGAACCTCCACTGCCGAAATGCAGAGGCCCCAGAAATAAAGAACTCGTCTTAAATGGAACCGACGTCCCCACAAATGCCTCACTCGCACGTGGTCCCTCTTCGTGGCTAACTCTACTCCTTCTTGCTGCAACACGTTCGTTGGGCGGGCAGCCTCCACATTCCTGAAGCGGGTCAGACCAGGAGAGAGGATTCCTGGAGCCCAGTCCAGGGGTCAGCACCCTCCCCCCCCCTTCCTGCCCCCAGAGTCCTCCGAATGTCCCCTGGGGACCAGCACAGGATGGGAGAGGCAGTGGGGGAAGCCCCAGTGCCCCAACCGCCCGGTTCCCCTGGGCGTGGGAACTGCCCTACCCACCCCGAGCCCCAGCCCCCAGCTCCTGGGGCCCCCGCCAGTGCTGACTCATAGGGGACCCAGGGCTGTGACTCAGCAGCGGCTCTTCTTGAACTTCTTGAGAGATTTCCCGCCCCGTGTCACCTTCTGTCCCCTCGGGGGTCTTCTTAGAGACCAGATGGCGTGAGCCACGACAGCTCAGAGCCCCAGCCCCAAGAGGTCCCCAAGTTTGCAGCCGTGGGTCAGCGGGGGTCTTGGGTGGTGGCGGGTGCATGTGGCCAGATGGGTGTGTAGCTTGCACACTCAGGCGTCAGCCACGAAAAGAGCTTGAGAAGGCAAGGCCCCGGCTGTGAGGATGCCTTCCTTTTGCACCCCCCCCCCCCAGCGTCTGGACAGGGACAGTCCGGGGCCAGGACGAGGCGCTGGGTAGGAGCTTGCTCACTGCGACCACAAACCAGCTTCCCCACCCATCTTCTCGGTCTGCGGAAATGGCAGCTCTATCCTTCCAGCCGCTCGGGGTCAAATCCTTTCTTAACAAAATGCAGCCCAGTTCATAAACTCAGTGACCGTCCCTCCTAAATGCATCAGAAGCCCAGGGCCCCCCGCAGGTCACCTCCAGGTCCCCGCAGTCACTAGTTCCCTGCTCTCCTGCCCCAGCTTCACACAGTCAGTCTGTCCGGTCCACCCACAGCAGCCCGAGGGCACCTGGGATCAGCCAAGTTGGGTCGTGTCCCTCCTCTGCTCGGAATTCTCCGCGGCTCCCATTCCGCTCAGCGCACACTCCTCCCCGCAGCCCTGCGCACCCTAGCCTGTCCCATCCCCCCATCCCTGCCCTCACCTCCTCCCTTGCTCGCTCTGCTCTGTGTACAGGGGCCTTCTCACTGTTCCTCAAACCCACCAGGCACAGAGCAGTCTCAGGGCCTTTGCACTGGCCGTTCCCTGTACTGGGGACTCTCTTCCCCTAAATACCCACATGGCTGCCTCCTTCAGGTCTCTCTGCTCAACTATTACCTCCTCGGTGATGCCCTCCCCGCCTGTCTAAAAGCACACCCCCTCGCTTTATCCTGCCCTAATTTTTTCCCTCCATCACCCTGTCACCTTTGACCACACCGTCTGTTTTACCGAGTATCTCATTTCTTGTCTGTCTCCTGTACTCACGTGTCAATGTCAGTTCTTTCAGGACAGGAAGCTTTGTCTTAATCATCGTTGCCGCATCGGAGCAGAGTCTCAGGCAATTTCTGTTGCATCGATGTATTGATAATGACCATGTTCCTGGCGTGCTGGGGAACGACAATAGACGCGGCACCGGCCTGCCCCTGTCTGGTGGGGGGGACAGGTCACATGGCTACCTGATTCTAATGAGTTCTCAGGCCTGAGACCTGGAGGCATGGGGGCCAGCGTGAAGGACGGGGCGCAATCAGGGAAGCCTTCTGGAGGAGGTGGGACCATGCAGTGGCCAGGGAGGAGTTTGGATTTAAGTAAGACGGGAACATCTGGAGGGGGGTTTATTTTTAGTTCAGTTTATTGAGGTATAATTTAGGGAGGGTAAGATTCAGCCTGTATACAATTCTGTGAGTTCTGATAAATAAATATAGCTGTGCAGTCGCTGCCTGGATCCCGAGAAAGCAGAGGCTTTAAGCAAAAATAGGAGCTCATGGGTATCGGGTCACGCACCCCTGCAAAGGGGACAAGGTTGGAAGCACAGGGCTGGCGGGGAGGCCATTGTGGCTGTCTGAGCGGTGACAAGGAACCAAGGAGGTGAATTGGGGGGGCGGAGGGGGCAGGGTGAGTCAGAGACGCCTGTGGGACATCCCGGAGGAGATATTCAGAGAAGGGGTCATCAGAACTCGGTGAGCAGAGCTATGCCTGGTGGGGACAGCGATTGGGGGACATTTTACAGAGAGGACTGAAGAAGAGGAGGGACACCAGGAGAAAGTAGTGTCCCGGGGCCAAGGCAGAAGAGAGCAAAGGTGACAGATTCCACACAGAGATAGAGAGCAGGGATGGCTGAGGAAGTCGGAAGTCGGGTGGGCTGGGCAAGCTGATGTCAGCGGTGTGCCCAGGCGGCTGCTTGAGAAGTAAAAGAGAGGAAGGGCGCCCGGGTGGCTCAGTTAGCTGAGTGTCCCACTTCGGCTCACAGTTGGTGAGTTCGAGCCCCGCTCAGAGCCTGGAGCCTGCTTCGGATGCTGTGTCCCCGGCTCTCTCTGTCTCTCCCCTGCTCGTTGCTCTATCTCTCGAAAATAAATAAACATTAAAAAAAAAAAAAAAAAAGAAGTAAGAGAGAGGGAAGGAAACCAAGGCAGCAAGCAGAAGGTTCTGGCAAACCACAAACACAAGCTGTCACATGTGTAATTCTAAAAACTTTGAGTAGCCATATTTTAAAAAAAAAAGGGAAAAGCAGCAGATGAAATGAATGTTAACCGTGTATTTCATCTATAACCAAATATACATCCAAAACAGTACCATTTCAACATGTAATCAAATAAAAATTATTAAGCAGACGTTTACATTCTTTAAAAAAAAAAAAAAAAGAATCCACACTCGGGGCGCCTGACTGGCTCTGCCCTTGGGGCGGGGAGACTCTTCATCTCCGGTCGTGAGTTCAAGCCCCATGTGGGGTGTAGAGATTATTTAAATAAGTAAAGATGTAGGGGTGCCTGGGTGGCTCAGCTGCTTAAGCATCTGACTCTTGATTTCGGCTCAGGTCATCAGCCCGCGGTTTGTGAGATGGAGTCCCAGGTTAGTCTGCATTTCTCTCTCTCTCGAAATAAATAATCTTTGAAAATAAATACTTAACAGATTTTTAAAAATCCACACTTACAGCACATCTCACTAGCCTCGTGGGACCCAGTGGTAGCCTCCCTGGAAGGCTCAGGTCTAGGCAGGACCTGATTTTGCCCACCAGTGACTCACCTCCCTCACACCTCCCTAATCCCAGCCCTATCAGATCCTGTCTTTATTTAAAATGTTGAGAGGCACCCGGGTGGCTTAGTCGGTTGAGCGTCCAAACTTCGAACTTCGGCTCAGGTCATGATCTCGCACTTCCTGAGTTCAGGGCTCACTGCTGTCAGGGCAGAGATGGCTTCTGATCCTCTGTTCCCTTCTCTCTGTCCCTCTCACACGGACACTCGCTCAAAAATAAACATTAAAGGGGCACCTGGGTGGCTCAGTTGGTTAAGCGTCAGACTTTGGCTCAGGTCATGATCTCCCGGTTTATGAGTTTGAGCCCCGTGTGGGGCTCTGTGCTGACAGCTCGGAGCCTGGAGCCTGGTTCAGATTCTGTCTCTCTCTCTCTCTCTGCCCCTCCCCTGCTCACGTTCTGTCTCTCTCGCTCTTGAAAATAAACAAACAAAGGGGCGCCTGGGTGGCTTAGTCGGTTAAGCGTCCGACTTTCGCTTAGGTCATGATCTCACGGTTCGTGGGTTCGAGCCCCGCGTCGGGCTCTGTGCTGACTGCCAGCTCAGAGCCTGGAGCCTATTTCAGATCTGTATCTCNTGTGCTGACTGCCAGCTCAGAGCCTGGAGCCTATTTCAGTCTGTGACTCCCTCTCTCTCTGTCCCTCCCCTGCTCACGCTGTCTCTCTCTCTCTCTCTCCTAGAAATAAATAAAACATTAAAAAAAAAGAAAAGAAAAGAAAAGAAACATTAAAAAATAATAAATAAACATTAAAAAAAATAATAAAGTGTTGATATTTTCTTCATTGTGGATTTTTCACATTAATCCTGAGTTAAAAAAAAAAAAGAAATTGCGCTCAAGGGGCACCTGGCTGGCTCAGTAGACAAAGCATGTGAGTCCTGATCTTGGGGGTCATGAGTTCAAGCCCCATGTTGGAAGTATGGTTTACTTAAAAGAAAAAAGAAAAAGGTGGGGGGGGGAGACACGGAATCTGAAACAGGCTCTAGGTTCTGAGCTGGCTGTCAGCACAGAGCCCGACGCGGGGCTTGAACCCACAAACTAAGATCATGACCTGAGCCGAAATTAGACTCTTAACCCACCGAGCCACCCAGGCGCCCCTTCCCCCCAAATCGTCTCCTTTAAATAAGTCATTTGTATGGCATGTGAATTTTATCTTAATAAAGCAGTTATAAAAAAAGATTCAGGGACACCTGGGTGGCTCAGTCTGTTGAGCATGTGACTCTTGATCTTGGGCTCATAGGTTCGAGCCCCACGTTGGGTGTAGAGATTCCTTAAAAATAGAATCTTTTTTTTTGTTTTTTTAAGTTTCATCTTGATTACTGAGTGTTTGGGTGTCCCCTGCGAACTGTGGGACCCAACCCTGCCCAGAGCCTCACTCTCAGCCACAGGGCCTTGCTGCTCCCTCCCACACCAGGGCAAGGAGGGAGGCCCGGCAAGAGTGGTGGTAAAGCCAAGGAGAGGAGGCCAGATGTGCACCCCTTTTCCTGCCACGGGCTTCCCTGAGCTGCAGGTTCCCTGGGGGTGGGGGGGATGGCTCTTCCCAGGGTTTTCACAAAGCCTAAGTCCAAGGTACCCTCCCAGCCACGCCTTGCCGGCCTTACCAGACAGCCTGATTCAGTTTGTCCATTCTGTGCATGTGACCCTCTGCTGTCCCCGGAGTGACTCAGGCAGCCTGGAAGCCCCTTCCCTGGGGGGGTGGGGGTGGAAGGGGACCCCCGGCTGCCCACGGTGACTTCACAGCCATGGCGGAAACAGGCTGCTGCCTCCCGGCCGAGGCAGAGCTCCTGGGGGTAGCCCATCAGGGTCTTGGCCCCACATCCCATCCTCCAGAGGGGCTTAAGGACGGGAGGAGGGGGTGGGGAACTCTTCTCAAAGGGCCTTTGTGGGAGCGGCTGGGGGGGAGCTGTGGGGGGGGACCCCGCCCTGTGTGACTCACTCCTCATTGCTGGGCGGTGACTCACGCCCAGGCCCCCCTCTGGCCAGCTTGCAGCAGGTGCTGCCAGCTCCGGCTTGGGGATGGGGGCCTCTGCACCCGCGTTCATACCATCCTACTCCAGGCCTGCGACCCACACCCATTTCCACCGGCACCTGCCTTGCGCTGACCTCCTTGCCCTGCGGGGCGCACACCCCTGAGAAAGCTTCCTACACTTCCTCCCTTCCTTGGTTGGGGGCAGACCCCCTGGTACTGAGAGGTGCCAGCCATTGACTCAGTGTTGATTCACGGATCCTCAAACCACCCGTGCAGTAGGGAATTCTTGCTACCTCCCTTTAGCAGATGGGGAAACTGAGGCTCGGCGTGATTATAGTAAGCGGCCCAAAGAGGAGCTCAAACCGAGTCGGGGCATACCCAAAGTGCTGCTCTCGAGTGTAACTGGGTAGGAGTCCCAGCTGCCTTGGGCACCAGGGCAGGGTTACTGGATCCTGCAACGTGGACTCCATTTTACCCATGAGGAAACTGAGGCAATGAGCACGTGACTAGAGAGGGAGAGGCCAGGATAGGAAGGAACCGGAGAGCTGGGGCCTTGCTCTGCCGCTTCCCCACGGGCCTCGGGCGCCCACCTTGGGGGCCGGGACGCCCCCGCCGCCGGGCCCCTCCAGCCGCCGAGCCGGCAGGAGCCGGGCCGCCCGCCAGGCTGCCGGGCGAGGTGCCCGGCCGCATCACGCCGCTGTGAGTCACCGCGCGCGCCGGCCCCGCCCCCCGCGCTAACAAACAGCGCGTTGCCGGGCAACCGCCGCCGGGGGCCCCGCCCCGTCCGCACTAAAGACCTGGGTTCGAGCCTCCTGTCGGATGAACGCTGGGCGGGCCTTTGGGACCCGCGGCCTTTCTGAAATTAAGGACTCCGATCGGGCCTGTAGTCCTGGTGGGCGCAGAGATGAGGGGGCAAGAGACAGCTGTGGTTCAACGAGGGTCGGGGGACAGAGACTGTGTCACCGCAAGCCGGACCCTCCCCTCGGGTCTGCGGAGGCCGGCACGAGGGTCAGGGAATGGCACGATGTACTTGCTGTGGGGTGAGGAGAGCCCTGAGGAGCTGTGGCCAAGGGGTGGGTCGAAACCATTTTTGTAGAGAGACTTAGGGTGCCTGCCTAGGGTCGGGGAATCAGGAGGGCTGTAGTCGGGGATTTTGGCTTCTCATCCCCACCCCAGCTGCGCCCCTCAAAAGAGCCAACACTTAGTGAGTACATTCTGTGCTCCAACCTGCTCTACACACGTGTGTACCTATGGATATTAACTAATGTTCACAATAGCCCTCTGACAGCTCACAGGTATTATTCCCATTTTACCGATGGGGAAACTGAGGCACAGAGAGGCAAACTTCTTCGCCAGAGGATGGAAAACTCCAAGCTTGAACGCAGACGGGCTGACTTGGGCTCCCCCTCGAGGCAGTGGTCATATCTGGGGAAGTCTGGAGCATAGGTCTGAGCACCAAGTTCCAAGTTCACCTGGTGGGGGGAGGGGAGTGCGGGTGGGACGTTCAAGGGTGTGGTGGGGGCTGCCCACAAGACAGGCCTTGGCCTCCAGAGGCTGTGCCAGGCTCCCCCCCCCCCCAGCCTGCCCGGCGAGTTGAGACCAGGCAGAAGGTTCCCAGGAGCCAGCATCCCTTTATTCCGGTTTCTCAGGACTCCGTCATGGGTACCACCAAGCTGCCCACAAGACCCCTGGGGGGTGGGGGAAAGAGCAGATGCCAGCATCAGAGCAGGCTGGCACATGGGCCTCTCCCTCCACCCTCACCTCATCGGGAAGTGACCGTCTGTCTGGCAAGTGATCACCTTTGCATCATTTAAGAATTTTTTTTTTTTTTTTTAACTCAAACGATTGAATAAATCACTGGGGTGGTTAAGTGCCGAGGCAGAAGAGTAGAGGGTTCCCCTGAGAGTCTAAAGTCAGAAGGTCATGGTGGGAGGGAAGGAAGCCTTCCTGGAAGAGGTAATGCCCTAGGATCTGAAAGAAGCTACCAAGTAAGCAGAGCAAGCAAGACGGCGAGTGGGCAGGTAAGTGTGAAAGGCTGGGGAGTTGGGATCTGACAAGCAGGGCCTGTGGTCAGAAGAGGTGGGGACCCTGGAGGGACTTTTTGCAGAGTGGATGATAGAGGGAAGAGGGAAGACGTGATTGGATTGTCTCTGGAGAAGGGCTGGAAAGGGTAAGGCCAGGAGCGGGGAGGCCAGGGAGGTGTCTGTTGGGAGTATTTTCAGGCCAGAGATGATGGCTGCCAGATTTAGCAAATAAAAACACAGGAGACGCAGTTACATTTGATTTTCAGATAGAGAACAAGTACATTTTTTTTTAAGTACTTTTTTTTAAAGTATAATATGTCCCTAGTATTGCAGGGGACATAACTTATACTGAAACGTGATTCCTTGTTTATCTGAAAATCAGATTTAACAGGGTGTCTTGGGTTTTATCTGGCAAAAGCACTTGAAGCTCTCAAGCCCCAGCGCCCCTCCTCCCCAGGGATGGGGAAAAGACACCAGCTACCAGTACTGAGCCAATGCACTGTGAGATCAATACCATCATCCCATTTTACAGACGGGGAAACGGAGGCTCAGAGACCTTTCGGTAACTAGTCTGTATAGTGAGTGAGTGACCCCCGACTGGAACCCCGGCATGTGGGGGGCAGTCCACCGGCGGGTTAGAGCTGGCATACCCCACCTTCCACGGCCGGGGGGGGGGGGGATGGGGCTTGGACACGAAGGTTCCCCAGGTTTCCGGTGGCCCTGAGGCAACAGAATCCTCGCGCCGGGATCTGTGCCGCCACCCCCCCCAACCCCCGGCGCCCCTCCTCCAGGACACCGAGGCAGTGGGAGGAGCGGGAGGCGGCCTCCGGGGGGCTCCTCTCCCCCGCTGCGGCGCGGCCTCGCCCTCCTCCAGGCCGGGAGGATCCGCCGTCTGCGCCCGCCGGCAGGGGGAGGGGGAGGGTTATTTTTACCTCCCTCCAGGCAGCCGGGGCGACAGGAAGTGAGCGCGCGGCCCGCCAGATGTGGAGAGCCAGGCAGCTGGGAGCAGCCACAGCTGGACTGGCGGCCGGCCGGGGTCGCGGGGGGGGGGGAGGGGGCGGGGTATGCGAAGGAGGGCGGATCCCAGGCCTCAGGTCCCCCCTTTGTTCCCCGCCGCCCTAGCCTCGCGTCCGAGGTCCCGTCTCACCCCCCATCCCCTCCCCACCCCCCGCCCCGCTCAGCTCGGTGGTGGCCTTGCTGTCCCCCATCTGTGCGCCGGTGCCTTCGGTTCTTACAGGCTCTCGGGTCCGGCGGGAGCGGGGGACGCCGCTGCTCCCCAACGTGGGGACCCCCGGGTCCCAGCAGAGTGATGAGGGGGAGATGGCCCCTCGTCGGCCCCGCCTGCCACCGCCATTGTTTACCCGTCGGCTGCCTCCTAGGAAACTTAACCCGCCCGCGGTAATTTTATTTGGGAACTTCGGCCAGTTGCCATAGCAACCCCCAGTGACGTCAGAGGGGCTGGGGCCCGAAATCCCCGGGAAAGGGGGGGGGATGGGATTACGGGGGAGACCCCCAGGAGGGCCCCTCCTTAACCCTGCGCCTTCCAGGTCCCAGTCCGAGGGGAGAGGGCAGCCAGATGTGACACCTCTTGGGCGCCCCCATTCTGGCGCGGTGCCAAGCGAGGGTGGCAGGGCCAGGTCCTGATGTCATCCGGTGCGGGGTGGGTGGTGAGTCAGTCCTCGGGTGGGGGCTGGGCCAGGCCTAGGGGCTATTCCTGTCTGACTCACCCCTCCAGTGCCCCTGAGCGGCACCCAGACGCTGCCCTAGGGACTTCAGGCGCCAGACTGGGGGGTCCCCTCAGATCCCTGGGGCCTCTGCTTCTCTGGGCCCTAGAGATCCCCAGTGCTCTCACACGGGCCCGGGGTGGCTGAATGGAGGGGTCCGTGGCAGTGAACTGGGGACACCTCATAACGTCCTTCCCCTGGAACCGGCCAGGGAGGGGGCAGGTGGTGGGATCCCTATTCAGTCCACAACACAGCCTGTCACTGGGGCGATGGGAGGCAGGGGCCCTGACTGGCACTGAGGAGCACACGCGCGCGCCAGGGGGGCTGGGCTGGGAGGAGCCACCCTAACCACAGTGACGTGGGACTTCCTCGGCAGGGCCTGTTTGATGTCTGTGTGTGCAGCGTTGTCATGGGGCCCGGCAGGCGGCCCTGCGTGTGAGCCGGGGTGACCTCCGGGGCGGCTGGGTCTGTCAGGGGTCCCTTGACCCAGCACCCCTGTCCCAGGCCCACATGGCTGCGAGTACCTGGCACACCTACGTGCACTCGCTTCTCCAACTTTGACCCCACCCCGGGCTCCGGCCTGGGGAGATTTCTTGTGTCATCTCAGAGCCTTGTAATAACTGCAGACTGCATGTTTTCAACATAAGGAAACTGAGGTTCAGAGAGGTGTGATCACTTAGCCAGCGATATTCAGGTAGAAAGTTGGGGAGCAAAGGTTTGAAATGGAGTTCTTCTTCTACTCTGCTCCCCTCCTCCCTCCATCGCACTGGTCTCCTCACTGTTTCTCAAACATCCCAGGCATGTTCTGGCCTCGGGACCTTTGCACTGGCTGTTCCCTCCACCTTGAACTTTTCCTCCAGAGGCCCGCACAGCTCCTCCCTCACCTCCTAAAAGCCTTTGTTCCAGTGTCATCTTCTCTTCAGGCAACCTTTCCCGACCTGGCCCCCACCCCCTCAGCCCTCATCTCCTTTTTCCCCTTCTCTTCTCCCTTGGTACTGATCACCCAACACACAACAACATGTCTTTATACCCATCTATCTGGTTTTGTGTGTGTTTTCCCTACAGATGTCAGCCCCATGAGGGCAGAGATTTTTTTCTGGCTTGTTCTCTGCTGTGGTCCCCAGTGCCCAGAACAGTGCCTGGGACACAGCAGGCACTCAGGCAACGAAGAATGAACAGATGGGCGTGTGTGTGCCCTGTGCCACTTGACCCCTTAATCTGACCTCACCCTGGCCCCGGCCCCGTATCCCTCCCCGTCGTGACAAAGGATCGGTTGGCCAGTTTGGAGAACTCCTATCCCTGGTGGCTGCTGCCCCTGGGTAAACTGGCCGGCTCAGGACCAGGGCATGTGAGGCACACATCGGAGGATCCAGAGGGTGAGGGGGTGGCACCGGAGGTCCCCCCAAGCTGAGGGATGCTTGGTGAGATGGGTGGTCTGGGGTTATACGGGGCCTTGGCACAGATATCCCTGGAGGACTGCATGGAGGAGGCGTTTCTCCTAAATGTGTGCCCCGTTGGACTAATGACAGGAGAGAGGGATAGTTCTGGATGGGAGGCCCGGCTCTGGGGTCTGAAGGAAGTATTCTGGAGGGCCAGCGTGGAGGAGGGGCGGTTGTAATTTGTTGTGATTTGGTCACTTTCTATTTGGTCTGTTTCTGAAATGATAAGCCTGTGTGTGTGTGTGTGTGTGTGTGTGTCCACAGGGAGACCCCGGATTCTGAGAACTCCATTCCCCTGCTTGTAGCTGCTCAGGAGGCCTTGTGGCAAGTACCTCACCCCTCTCAGGGCCCCGCCCTGAGTCGGGGAATTCTGTGCCACCCCAAATCTTCCCCCAGGGCCCCGCAGGCTGCTCTGCCCCCTCCTGCCCCGACCTGCCGGATCCTGCAGCTTGGGCCAGCCTGCCCCCTTGGGCCCCACAGAGAAGAAAGACCCAGGAACCCCCCAGGCTGGGTCCCATGGAATGGGAACTGGGTGTGGCTCCCACCCGCTTTTCCCAGTTCCCACTAAGATCCAAGGTGGGAGCCCGGCTGAGCTGAACTGAGGACATGGAGAACTCCGGAGGGATTCTGGGGTACGGCGGTGGCCCAAGGGCATCCAACCAGCCCCTACGCTCGGTCCCCTGCCTGGGCCTGCTTCTGGGTCCCCAGTTCCCAGGAGCCTGACCCCTACCCCCAATTATAGGACTTGGGAAACGTTAGGAGCGGGTGGAGAAAAACGGCCCCCAAAGCAACGCCCACCCAGGTCTGAGAAGGGCCCTCTGTGTCCAGAGCCCCATGTGCCCTGGCATGGCAGTGGTGGCGATCTGCCCCCCCGCCCCCGCCCCTGTCCCCTGTTGGAGAGGGCAGTGGCAGCTAGGCATGCCCAAGGAGGCCGTCTTGGCGGCAGAGGGCACCCCGCCCCTCCTTTGGTTAGTTTTGTCCTGGCCCCCCACCTGGGCACGAGGCCAGGCCCCAAGGCAGGGCCCCTGTCCTGGGGAACAATGCCTCCGTGTTTCTCCCGGTGGAGGGGAGGTCGGCGGAGGATGTGGTGGGACCTACGCAGACAGGGAAGGAGGGAGGGACCCAGGGAGGGCCTCTATCCCAGGGATACTCCAGGAGTGGGGAGTTGCCCGGTGCCCCTGGGCGGTGGGGGATGGGGATGCTGGGAAGCCAGAGCGAGGAGGAGGGAACCGTGACCAGGGACCACCTGGACTGGGGTCAGAGGCTCCAATGGCAGCAGGAGGGGGGTGGATGGGATAAAAGGAGGGACTTCCTGGGGCTGGCGAAGGCACTGAGGAACTGGAGGAAGTGGGGATTGGCGTTTGGCAGACACCCAGACACCCAGGCCCATGCCTCCCAAGGAAGGGGACATACACAGTGGCAACATGTCCTCCATCTGGCGCCATTCACACACCCTCCCCATCTCCCTTACCCCTGCCCACCCCCGGCCTCTTGGGGTTCTCTTCCTGCGCGGGGGCAGGACTTTGCCAAGAGGGGTTTGGGGGTGCAAGGGGCTGTAGGACCCCTGCTTCTGTCCTTCTGCAGGGAGAGCCTTTGCTTAAAATCTGGGGCTGCTTCTAGAGTCCAGGACCCGGAGCCGGGAAGCTGGGCTGGGTTTGGGGGGCCCAGGTGGAGTCGGGACAAGGAGGGAGAAAGTTGGGGCTGAGTTGGGGGACCAGAGAGAGAAAGTGGGGGCGGACCGGCTCCGGGGGCACATGACGGCGGCGCCTGCCCCGCCCCGCGCCCGCCCCCTGTCCGGCCCGGGGGGGAGGAGACGGGAAGGTTTTAAAAGCGATTCGGCCCAGCGGCGGGCCGGCCAGTGAGTGGGATGGAGCCGGGCCCGCGACCGACCCCGGCCCGTTTGGGGTCCGCCGCCCGCCGGTGTCTCTGCTGCCGAGTCCGGGGCGGCGGCCGGAGCCCCGAGTGCCGGCTCCCCTCCCCCGCGGGTGAGTCGGGGAGGGAACCGGGAGGGAGGCGGTGGCGGCGGCGGCAACTTTTCTGCGCCGGACTCGTGGGCGGAGTGGGGGTGCGCCCGGCGGGTCCCCAGCGCTTGGAAGGGGGGAGGGCGCCGCCCCGCCGCCGGTGGCTGTGAGGGGGGGGCAGCGGGGATCGTGCATCTGGCGGCGGCGGTGGTGGCGACAGAGTCCCGGGGCGCCCCCTACGGAGCGGGGGAAGGGCAGCCCAACCTTTACCCCCTCTCCAGGAGCCCACTGGGGACCTCTGGCCACTCCCCCCACCGGAGACCCTGGAGAGCGTGGTGGGGAGGGCGGGTCTCCCAGACACTGGGGCAGGTCCAGGTGGGCAGGGAGTCAGCTCGCGGCAGGGTGGGAAGGGGGAGGGCATATGCCCGGGTTGGGTTGGGGAGGGATGAATACACACGGGCGCCTGGGCTCCCGGGGTGCCTCTCTGGGCTTTGGCGGGGATGGGGCTGGAGGAGTGGGTGGGGGTCTCTCAGAGTTCCGTGGATGGGGGGAGGTGGGTGACAGGGTGGTTCAAGTTCTTGACATGTCAGCCAATGAGCGAAGGCAAGGCCTTTCATTGAGCAGATGGGGTTGTAGCCCCGGCTTGGTGGAATTGGGGGACCCCTCCCCTCCCTCTTGGCTCCTCCTGGCCCAGGAGAGAGGAGCTCCTTCAAGGTTGCTTAGGAAGGGGGCCAGGTGTGGGAGATTCCTGAAGGGCTGACATCCAGTCCTGTGCCCCTTCGAGACCGCTTGCCCTTGGATTGCAGAGGGTGAGCCCCACGCCGATCTCTGACCCCTGCACTGGGCCAGAGCCCCCAGCCCTACACCGACTTGCCTATTCAGCCCGGCCAGGCCCAGCCAGGCCCAGCCAGGCCCAGCGGCCTCCCGAATTCCTTGAAGGTGCAGCTGGCTCTCTGTCACCTGCCCCCTTCCCACCCCAGCCTTCGCCAGCTGCCTGTTCACGGCGACGGGTGCTGTGCGAGGGTGAGGCTGGGGGGTGTGGGAGACCCCTGGCATGAAGGCTGTCCTCTGGCAGCTCTTCCAGTGCCAGCCGGAGCTGGAGGGCAGTACCCAACAGGTGCCCCGGCTTAGAGGCGAGGTGATGCGGGACACACCCTGTCCGCTCGCCCACGCACCCTGCCCGGGCCGGCCCGAGTGCATGTGTTCACACGCCACAGTCCTGGGAAGGCACGGGCCCC